GCGTGTAATTGTTAGTTGATTTTTGTTGAGCAAATTTCGATGTAGAGGGCTTTATATTTCCAACTGATTCCAAAGTTTTGAATTTGTTTGTTAAGAAAGCGTCAAACTGTTCCCATTTTGGAATTTGTTTACAATCGCTTAATGAGTTCTCGAATTCTTCTAAAAAGCCTCTAGGTAATTTTGTTGAACAAATGTATATTAAAATCGGATCCCATCCTTTAACATCGACATCAAGCATCCCCAGTGTCTGAATGCTGCTATTAACAGTGCGTTGTAGTTTTTGTATAGAGTGACTTGATTCAGTAGAAACTCCAGGTAGATTAAAAAGTGTCTTGACTTCTTCATTAATTTGCATTCTTTTATTCTCGTAACGATCTGTGAGATTTTTCCATGCTAATGTAAATCCATCATTAGTTAGTGGGACATGTGAAATAATTTCTCTCGCTTCTCCTGCTGTCTTCTGCGTTAAATGGAATAATTTTTCGACATTGCTTAATTTTGAGTTGTTTATGTAAATTGCCGAAAATAGATCTCTGAAAGTCGGCCATTCTCTATAACCACCTTTAAATGTGTCTGTATCGCATGGAGGTAGCCGCGATACGTTTGTGAAATCCACTTCCCTTCCTTGTTGTGACATCTCTGACTCTCTTTTCATTTTTTCCTGTGTCTTTTCATCCAAAAGATTTTGAATTTGTCCATTTATTGAACTCAGCGCTTTTTTGTACGATCCCATGGTATCCATATAGTGCTTCCTCAGTTTATTTTTATCGATCGGCTTTCCTTCCTCTTCTGGAACATAATCCCGACAGTCTATGTAGGCTCTCTTGACCTGGTCCCATGCAGAATCCAACTCCATTCGTGTTGTTTCCAAAGTATGTACCGTGTCATCAGGTTTGGTTATTGAAAAAATTGAAATATAATCCAGAAGATCGTTGACGCAATTTGTGAATTTATCGCTTAATGTTTTATCCATTTTGAAAACTGAGCGTTAACCTTTACGAAATTTTGTTGTTTTACAAAAAAGAAAAGTTGCCCAATGAAAAGGACTAACTTGGTTTAGAATTTAAACTTTTATCCAAATTTTTATTTTTTAAAATGAGGATAAGTTTTTTTCTCAATATCTGTCGACGAAAACGATCCTATTTTATTGGTTTGAGTCAAATTATATTTCGTTCCTTTCAATAATTAAATTTTTTTTTTCCAAAAATTCAAAAATTTTCTTTATATTTGACGCCGGACTGACTTGATTAAAAATGTTTGCTGGGTTACCAGAAGGGTCAAAATTTCGCCAAAATGAGCAAAAAGGAAAATAAAATCTCTTAAAGTCCACTTACAGGAGGATTTTATTCTTGCAATTCGACAAATAATCAAAAGTTTTTAAAACAAAAGTGTTTAAACGAGAATTGCAAAACAGAAATTACCAGAGATGTTTTGCGCAGTAAACAATTTCTTCCAAAAAAAAAAAAAAAAACGAGAGTCTAATTTGATTGTCCACGAGAAGTTGAAAATTCCAAAAAATTTCAGAGAGTCCAAAAAAATTTCAACGAAGTAAAAATGTGTGTTGGGTTGTCAAAAAAAAATTTTAATTTTTTGTTAAAATCACTTAATATCCTATGACAGGAGGATTTTATTTTTAAAAAGCCAATAACTTTGATTATTGCTTGTGAAAATTTGTCTGATTCAACAAATTTTCTAAATTCGCCAAATTTTTTGATAAAATTCGCAACGAGAATTAGAGAAAATTATGTATGTATAAATCCAAATATTTCAGCAGAAATATTTCAAACAAATAATTTGGGTCAAAAAATCCAAAAATTTGAGCAAAAATTTCCAAAAAAATTGATTTGGGTCAAGGTCCAAATATTTCAGCAGAAAATTTTATGTCCCAGCAGAATATTGCAAAAGAAAATAATTTGGGTCAAAATCCAAATATTTTCAGCAAAAAATTCAAGAAAGTGTAAAAAATGTCAATGAAGAAATTTTTCCCAAAAAGTTGTCGTGTTATGTGTCACAAAATCAAAAAAAGTATACCAGCAAAATATTTCTGCGAAAAATGCAAGAAATTAATTTTGGGTCACAGAAAAATTTTTAAGCTCCTTAGAGCAACAGATATTGTGCTAAATGGGAAGAAAGGTTAAAATTAGAATAAAAATAAAAATTGTAAATATATGGGATCGATTTTATGTCTGTCCACCAGACTCCGATATAAAATTTGTTCTCCAAAATTTCAAAAAAATTTGTAGTTTAAGTTTCAAATGTATGTCTGTCCACCAGACGCTTGCTTGTTTGCCAATTTTTTTTCCTCCAAAAATTTCAAAAAATTGGTAGTTTAATTTTCAAATGTATGTCTGTCCACCAGACGCTTGCAAAAATTTCAAAAAAATTTAGGTTATTTTTTGTCTGTCCACCAGACGCTATTTTTTAAACGGGTTTTGTTTACTCGTTTATGTATTCCGGTGACGCCAAATTTTTCCAAAAAATATGGCGACTATATATTGCAAGTGACGCTTTTTTTCCAAAAAATTGTATATAGTTTTTGCAATATGGCGTTTATATGTTTGCCAAGTTTAGTGACGCCAACTTTCCAAAGTTATGTGTTTGTGTCAATATGGCGCTTATGTATTCGCCTGAACTCCACGTTCAGAAAATTCCAAAATTTTTAGTATATATATATTTGTATATGGCTGAAAATTCCCGTTTTTTCAGAAAAGAATATGTCTGCCTGCTTTTTCCCGGGTCAAAAGCCAAATGTCCGTCCAGAAAAATGGCTCAAAATTGGGAAATTTTCCGTCACTGTGTCTGAGTGGGCAACTAGCAGCTTTGAATATGGGTCAAAGTGTTATTGCAAATTATGGGAATATGCGGGTCAATGCAAATATTGAAGATTTGCCTGCTCCCGAAATGCCCTTTTGTGTCAAAAAAGAAAATTTCACGAGTACTCACTTTGATCTTGGGTTTTGGGTCTCCTTTGTTGTACCTTGGTTGTTGTTGTTGTGCTGCGTGTGTCCGTCCGCTTCTCCTTTACTGCTGTTTCCACAATTTTCGGGTTTGTTGCTCTTTGTGTCACGGTATATTGTCTCTTGTGTATCACTGTGTATTGTCTTTTTATTGTATAAAAACTTTTTCAACTTTTTATTAATTTTTCAGATTTTATATTTTTTAAAATTGAAGGAAAAATTTAATTTTTCTAAAATTTTAAAAAATTTTATTTTTTTGTAGCACTGTGTAACTTCACTTTTTGTTGCACTGTGTACTGTCTATTTTTTTGTAAATTTTTGTAATTATTATTATTATTATTTTTTTTTTCTCAAAGTTTTTTTTTTCTCAACACTTTTTTAACTTTGCACTTATTTTTGAACCCCACTGTATTTTTTTCTATTTTTTCACTGTTCTTTTTTTCACTTTCTTTTGTCCGTCCACTCACAAGTTTTTTTTTTTTTTCGTTTTTAATAATTTAAAAAACTTCACTTTTTCATCCGGCTCGAAGGACCAAATGTTTTTAGGCTTACCTTTTTTGCCCTTTTTTCCTTTTTATAAATTATAACAATTATTGTGTTTTTCTATTGCGGGTTTTTATTTAGTATTATTTTTCAGTAACTTTTTTGGGGTTTAGTGCAATTTAGAAATAGGTAAAATTAGTTTTTACGTTTTGTAATTTATTTTAAATTTTTAATTTACTAGTTCTTAGGTTTTAATTCAATAGCTCTTAAGTTTATTTATTTTATAAAATTTTTCATATTTTTTAATCCACTATTTTCTTAATAATATTTTCAATAGATTTTAAATATTTGTAAGTTAGACATTTTTTAATTCAGTAGTATAAGTTTTAACATGTAAGTAGTTTGTAAGTTTTTTCACCTTCGTGTTGTATGTTCTTGTTTAGTAATGTTCTTCTTGTTGTTGAATGTTCACTGTTTAATGTTCAGTTTAATATTATTAATTTTAACTTTGATTTTAAACAGACACTTTCACTTGTCACACGGGGGGGAAACTTGCGCTCGCGACGGTAATTGAAAAAGAACTCATTATTGCCAAATTTGCATCGTCACATCAAACCTGTTTTGGCTGTTGACGATGCTTAGTTATTAGAATTCAGCATTGGAATTTACCGGTGGCTGCATAAATGTATGTGTGTATGTGTATGTATTTACATTATTTACATCATTTTGTTATGATGCCATTTATGCGGCCGCCGGTAAATGCCCAACCAACAGTGTTGGGCAAATTAATAGCAATATTATGAACAGTGGTTTTCAAACAACTCCTGGGGAAAATATCCCCAGAGAAGTGGCGAGGATTCGCTGCTCTTTTTCGAAACTATTATGTACCCTGTATAACCCCTTCGTATGTATGATGGGTCGTATTTTCGTTTGTAAAAATGTAATCTTATTTCTAACGTCTGAAATAGTTACCCTAATTTTATAAATTCCACAATTACATACTAATAAGGGTATTTGCAATTCGTTATCTTCCAATTATAATTTATTTATTGCTTATTCATTCGATCGTTTTCAATTTCATTTTGGCTCTCAATTTGAGAGTGTCATATTTTAGAGTTGTCAACACGCAATCGTTAAAAATGCCATTGTCATTGTATTGATTGTTACTCCCTAAAACCCTCCGCGCCCCTTTCCATTTAAACATACACAATCATACCAACAAATCAATGTGTGACGATTTTTTTTTGTATCGATTCATTATTCAACAAATGCCCAATTTCCCACATTTAAAACGCATGCATGCCATGCATTTGTAAGTAAATAACGTTTAAATTTCAAGTTTACGCTCTCTTCTTATACCACTTGTTCTCTCGGTTTGAGATAAGTTCCTGTTCTGGCGTCTATCAGTTCAATGTTCATTGTGTTCACATTATCTCTCTTTTTAATTGCTCTCTGGGGGAAGCGCGTGTTTGTGGGGTAGATAACGGCAAAAACCATGCAGTCGACGGTCACCAATGACACTCATCGTTCATTGATGTTTGCGACGACGGCGTCGACGTTGTTCTTTTGTTTTGGCAACGTATGTTTTTTGTTTTGTTTTTTCATTCAAAGAGCTGGCAACCCTCGAACATGTGTTCATGCAGTTTAGCCAGCCACAGTTTCGTGTATAACAAAACAAGCGACGACCAACCAAAAGAAAATCAACTAAAAACACTATCGAAATGGAATGAATTAATAATAAAGTTATTGTGGTGTGTGAACTTGAGCTTAGCACAGCTGCCGCTGCTGATGTGTGGAGTAGAAGAGAATTTATTGTGAAATTATTGTAGTTAGTTTTTGTGGTGCACGGGCAGACAGGCTATCTGTGTGTTGATTTTGCCCTCAAGTGCCAGTGTCCGCGCTGCCGTTCGTTGATTTGGTCGAGTTCTTCTAATATTATTGTTGTTTATATTAGAAAGAAAACGTAGCCGTGGTTTCGCATTGCATAGAGTCGAGCCGAGTTCTTAGTAGTTAGTTGCTTTTTCTACTACATTTCTTCTTACTCTCTGTTGGTTATTTGCTGGTGGTGCTGCTACTGCGGGTGCCTCATGGAAAGCAAGGCAAATATAAACAATTTTTGTTTTGTTAAATTTGTTAAGCGTGCCAGTGAGTTTGTTATAAACAAGAAAAGGAGATATAACGACATATCATAGTCGAAACTAAACAAACAACAATAACAACAACAACTATAGAAACAAACATCCCACAAACAAAAATGTACAATTCATCATATAATTCCCTAAAACAAGTGTCATCTTCTGATGTGGCTAATGGCAAAAATTCTGCAGCGACGACGTCAGCGTCGAAATCGCCCCCGGTCTCCATACGTACAAATGCTACACCAAATCCATTTTGTTTCAATACCATTCTGCACAAACTAAATGCTAAAGTACCTGCTCGCCTTGTCCTGTATTTGTTGTCGTGGTCGGGATTCCTGGTCTCGTTCATGATGAGAACTGATATGCATTTGGCTATTGTGGCAATGACACTACCTGGGAATGGAAATTCGTCGGGGTCGATTGGTGGACGGTGTGCTGATGGCTCATTACCTAATAGTACAGCAGCGTTAGTTACTTCCGTAAACACATCGACGACGACGACGACAACAACAATTACCCCACTCAATATAAGTGTTATACCAGCTGCTGAGGCACTTGTTTCGGCAGCGGCAGAACAAGGACATCGCCAATATTATGACTGGTCAGCAGCGGTGCAATCGCTAATAACCGGCTCCTTCTTTTGTTGTTATGTTCTGTCCCAAGTGTTTGGTGGCATTGCCACTCAACTTTTTGGTACCAAAAAAGTTTTTGGCTGGTCTCAATTCGTCACCGCTCTCTGTAGTTTGCTCATGCCCGCTTGTGCCGACATCCATTATGGCCTACTTATTGCCTTGCGTTCCATACAGGGTTGTGCCTCCGGCCTCACCTGGCCGGCCATGTATGCCGTTGTCGGCTATTGGATACCCTTGATAGAGCGTTCACGCTTTATGTCCAGTTTCCAGGGATTTAGTATTGGCACTGGTCTCACCTTTGTTTTGGGTGGCTTCATAACAAAACGCTTCGGCTGGCAGTATGTCTTCTACACCACCGGATCGTTGGGAATGCTGTGGTGTGTCTTTTGGTACCTGCTAGCCTTCAATACACCTCGAGAACATCCTCGCATAACAAAAGATGAATTGGAATATATCGAAATCAACATAAGCAGTGAAATGAAAGAGTCGCTGGGAAAGAAAGTGCCTTGGAAAGATATCATTACCTCAAAGCCCGCCTGGGCCATTGCCATAACGACATTTGGCCGCATTTGGATACATTATGTGTTCATTATAAATGGACCTAGTTTTATGAAGAATATTTTGTGCTTTGATTACGAGGCCAATGGTGTGCTGTCGGGCATGCCACACATTTGTTCCTATATCCTGTCGGTGGTTTTCTGTTATATTGCGGATAAATTGCTGGATCGTCGTTGCATGACCCTGACGAATATACGTAAACTATTTACGGCCCTGTCACAAATTGTACCTGGTGTTCTATTACTATTTATTGGCTATATTGATGATATTGTCCTGCTGCTGGTTGTTTGGTTTATTGCGGTCTCCTTCATTACGGCCTCCTATGCTGGAGCCATGGCTAATATTGTGGATATTGCACCAAATTTTGCTGGTCCCGTTTTGGCCTTTTGTCAGACCATACATATGTCGGCCTCATTCCTTTCGCCTCTGAATTCGGGCATGATCCTGCAAAATAATGCAACCATAGAGCAATGGCGTACCGTATTCATTGTGGCGGCCATTGTTGGCAATTCCACCTATATAGCGTATCAGGTTTATGGTACAGCGGAAATACAAAAATGGGATAGTATAGATACGGCTACGGGTGGTAGTGTTGGCGGCGGTGTTGGTGATGGTCCTTCTACAGCCAATGGTGATTTGTTGACTTGCGAAACTGGTAAACGCAACAGCCGCAACAATGGGGATGATGGCGAAGATGACGATGACGACGACGACATGGAATCAAAGGAGGACAATCAAATGCTTAAAAAGACAACAAATGGTAAATCAAAGGATAATGTAGCCAATAATTAGTATTTACTTAAATCTAACACAAATTTACTTAATTTTTACTCTATATATAAATATATGTATATGTTATACTCTACTGCTGTTATTCTCAAAATGCAATATGCTACGAGTAGTAATCCTAGTACTTAGAGACAAGTTCTAAAAACAAAAAAAGAAAATGGGAAAACAAAACAAAAATGAAGAAAATTAAAATTTATATAGCTACCTATTAATCGGCGGAAAGAGGTCATTGTTTAGCAATTTGCATAGAATGCAATTAGTTTATATTTTTATTTTTCTGCATTGGAAAATTATTTGAATCCAAAAACGCTCTCGAGAGAGATAAGTTTGAAGGTCTGTTTCTTTAAAATGAAATCGAATAAATTATGAAACCCCTAATTTTAAATGATAAATATTATTACAATATTGAATCCTTTTATGATTGAATATGATTCGTAAACAAATGTCTTTTTTGATTCCCATTTCATTTGGAGAAACAGACAGACCCCTATTTGAAATTGTAAAAAAAATAATAATTTTTTCCTTTTTTTTCATATTGAAAATTATAAAAAATGATTTTGAAATTAACAAGAGTTTACTTTGAAAATATGTGTCCATTTCCACATAAAACTCTGGGGAAAATAACATTAGAGGAAACAAATGTAGCTAATAAAATGACAGCCTTTACTTGTTGTGTCCAAATCCCTTTGGCTTTTCTAATGTCCTTTCGTTACAAAATAATAGTTTAAACAACTTTTTAAACACACAAACAAATTAGTCTAAAAAAACGTAACGCGTAATTAAAGGAAACCTTTTGCACAATAAGTTGCTAGAATGTAGACATTGTAATGAACTTGAAACACAACAACCACACATACACACACATTTTGTGTCTCGTCATTTTTGTCTGTGGTTATGGAAAAACGTTTTCCAAAAAGGAAATAGTACTACTGCCTCTATTTCAAATACAGTGATATGTTAAATATCATTTAATTTTTTTCCAATTGTAATAATTTTTTTTTACAAAAAATATTTTTTTTTAAACAATAGAACAAGGCGGTTATGTTGAGAAAGCCCAAAGAAATTCTTAGCTTTATATTTTTTACAAATTATTTTTTTTTATTATTTTTTATTTTAAGAAGTGCGTTTCTTGCCCCCCACAATAAGTTTATACCTATATATATTATATATTTTAATTTTTAAGAATTTTTATTTGCAGATAGCATATAAACTACCTTATTAATTTAACTCATTTATTGCGGGGCAATTTGCTTTTGATTTTTCTAACGGTGTACTTACACAAATTTAAACCATTTGATTTCTTTAATGAAGATATATTCGACCTAAAGTAGTATTTTATGAAATCGTCGCCTCGATTGGGCTAAACAATGCTCCGAGCTTGATTTTGCTGAAAATACTTACACATACAATACATATGGAAGCATCACAGCTATTATTCTCAGTCATATTTGGCTACAGATGGTATACAGGATGAGATAAAAAAAAACTGCAACAAAGTCAAAAGCCATAATTTTCACATTTTTTTTTATTTTTTGAATGAAACCAAAAATATCGGATATTGAAAAAGATTAGATTTGTTTGAATTGGAACCTTTGGCACGAATTATGGCCTTCAAACGGCCAATGAAACCGTCACACGCTGCACGAATGTTGCTCTGCGGTATTTTGACCCATTTCCGGCGAAGCGCTTGCTTGAGGTGATCGACACTTTGGTATTTTTTGGTGCCAACCTTGCTTTCCACAATACTCCTCACACAACAGTTCAACGGATTTGTATCCGGAGATTTTGATGGTCATTGTGCGCTGGAAATGAGGCGAGGAACCTCATTTTGTAACCATTTTTGGGTGGCGCATGCTGAGTGCGATGGTGCTGAGTCCTGTTGGAATGTCCAAGGTCTGCGGCCAAAATGTTTGCGTGCCCAAGGCTTTAATACACCCTCCAGATTTTTTCGCGATAATATTCGACATTTATTCTGATGCCACGGTCGTTTAATAAGAGCGGAGAGCGACCATCGGCTCTTATGGCGACCACCACCACACCATCACCATGGCCGGCATTTGAGTTCTGGTAGCCAACCGAAGGTGCACATTTTCAGCTGACCTCCTTGGCATGTAAACACTATCATTTTGTTTGTTTGCAAACTGCTGGACAACGAATGTTTTCTCATCGCAGGAAACCATATTCGGCAGTTCACCACTTTCGGCCAAGTGGAGCAACTCTTTAGCTCTTCTGAGTCTATTTTCTTTCAGTTGCGGAGTAAGTTCTTGCTCTTTTTGGAATTTCAATGGCTTTAACCCGAGCTTATTTTTCAATATTTGCCGAATCGGATATTGTGATATGTTGAGCTCACTAGCCATTTTTGGCCTCTGCGACGCGGGTTTCTCTAACGATGGCCACTTGTGCTTTTCCAGCTAAATATAAAGGAATCACACTATCACGCTTAAATTCCATCACGAATAACTTTTTTTCTGGAAAATTCTCAACAAAATGCTTTTGTACGCTTGTAAACAATATAATGAGCTGGACTGGAACTGACGGGAGAGTGGCTTAGAAATGACAGCAGTCTGAAATTGGTTGCAGTTTCTTCATCTCACCCTGTCGAAAGACGGACATGCCTAAGTCGACGTAGAATGTGATTCTATGAAGATCATTAAAAGGAACTATGGGTCTGTTTCTATTCCTTCTGCTTATTTCAAAGAATTGCAGAAAGACATAATACCCTGTATCACAGTGTGGCGTAGGGTATAAAGAGAACACCTTATCAACGGGATATGATTTCAATATTCCAAATTTGTGTGCTGTCATATCACATCTCTATAGGTTTTTGTAAAAGATTAGATGTTGGCCTTGCCGCATACAATCTTTTATTTTAGATTTTCATAAAAAATCGAATATTTCCAATATTATTTTCGCAACATACCTGACTGATACTGGTGTTAAATAAAAAGTGTTATCGATGTCAACGCGAAACCGAGTGTTCTAAATTTCCTACATCCAATTTGAAAAAATACACTTTTTCATTTATGTTACATAGCTGAAGGAAATAAGCTATTTGGATTTTCAAGGAAGGACAACATTTATAAGCAACGCTTTTATTGACCATGACATTTAAAAAAAAATAGGCAATACATTTTAATATTTGAGTTTTTTTTTTAAATCTTGTAATTGGAAAAAATTGCTCATATGTACAAAACACCATAGGAATTTGACAAATGTAGCTCCATCTATTATATACCTTTAGGTGCTATTATATATATAAACAAATTAATATTATCAATTGCTGCATACATTTCAAACGAACAAACATAACATTTCTTTGGGCTTTCTCAATAGGTTACTTAATTATTACTTCATTATTTTTTTAAGTACTTATTAATAATATGTATAAATCTATTTTAATTTTTTTTTAATATTACAACTTTGTTATATTGGATAATGTGATCGAAAACATTCAATACTTTGTGAATAGTTATAGAAATGAAAAAAAAAAACAACAATCACTATGTTAGTGACTTTGAATAGCCAAGTTTCTATATATATAAATAAACATTAATATACGATTTATTATTTTGTGTCTAATTTTATTTTTCTATTTTTTTATTCATTATTTTTTTCCATTTGAAATAAAAATACATAGTAAACTAATATAAACAATATGTGCTGTGTGATAAGAATAATTATAACTACTACCATTGTACTGTAATTATTAATTCTAACAGTATTTGTAATTTTATCCGAAAATTACAAACTATCAAAAAACTATATAAAAATAACAACAACAAAAAAGAAAAACAAGAAAATGTTAACATCTATTTTATTTTAATTAAATTTAAGGGCTGGTCTTTTTGTAAACTTTCTTTTTATGTTTATTTAATTTTTTTTTTATAATTGGTATATATAATATTTTCCATCAAAGGCATTCGTTACATACTTTTTTTGTATAAACCAAATGGGCAAATTTACATTGCAATAACATAAATTAATAAATCCTATGTAAATAAAAAAACATAAATTATATATTTCCAAACAAAAAATTTGATCGAAAAAAATGAAATGAAAACAAAGGTTATACAAAAAAACTAAAAGAAAAAAATAATAAAACAAAACGAAATTATCTATATATGAGAATATATATCCAATCCCATATGCAATTTATATTATTTTATAAACATTTTACATGGTAAGTGTGGCTTTTATTTAATTCCTAATTTGAAATTCTTAATTTTTGAGCTTAATGGGCCCCTGGAGTATAAAATGACACTAAGAGAGTCATGGTCATTTTATCAACGCAACACAATTTGTTTTGTGAGTAAAAGGAAAGATAATTATTATAAATAAAGAAAAAATGCAACGCACCCAAGGCGATTGCACATTTACTCATTGTTCTGGACAGTCCTAAAGCATTCTGGAATAATACGTACAATAATGAGGTCAGAGAGGCTATGTTTAATAATTCGAAATTTTTGGTCTGTTAGGGCTGAAAAAAATGATTGTAAAAATGCAAATCCTAAATTGACAATATCGGTCCCTCCACCACAAAGGGTCAAAATTTTGAAAACATCAGACTTTTCAATCAGATTCTTTTCAAATTCCAATATTTCAACCAATCTAGTGTGAATATGGGATATATGGAAACACCCCTTCTGGTAACTCCCCAACAACGGATCGCCATTTTGGATAGTTATAAACATGCATGGTGAGATGAAAAACTGCTACCACCTTCAGACTGCTGTCATTTCTAAGCCACTCGTCCGACAGCTGTTAAAATTATTCCAGTGACAGCTCATTATATTGTTTACAAACGGATAAAAGCATTTTGGTGAAAATTTTCCAGAAACAAGTTATTCGTGATGGAATTCATGCGTGATATAATTCAAGCGTGGCAATATGATTCCTTTATATTTGGCTGGAAAACCCAAAGTGGCTATCGTTAGAGCACTCCATCATTTAAATGTGAATACATCTTTTGTGTCTCGTGATACTTGTAGCGTAGCCCGACGTCAAGGAAGTGGACGGAAGAAAACAGCAACATCAGCAGATATGGTTCGAAAAGTAAAGAAGCGACTTGATCGAAACCCGCGTCGCAGTGGCCGAAAAATGGCTCGTAGGCCGAACATATCGCAATATTCCATTCGTCAAATGTTGAAAAATGAGCTCGGGGCAAAGCCATTGAAATTCCAAAAAGTGTAAGAACTTACCCCGCAACAGAAAGAAAATAGACTCAAAAGAGCTAAAGAGTTGCTTCGCTTGGCCGAAAGTGGTGAACTGCCGAATTTGGTTTTCTCCGATGAGAAAACATTCGTTGTCCAGCAGTTTGTAAGCAAACAAAATGATCGTGTTTACTTGCCAAAGAGGTCAGCTGAAAATGTGCATCTTCGGTTGGCCACCAAAACTCAAGCGCCGGCCATGGTGATGGTGTGGGCAGCCATAACAGCCGATGGTCGCTCTCCGCTCGTATTAATCGACCGCCACGGTCGAATAAATGCCGAATATTATCGCGAAAATATTCTGCAGGGTGTATTAAAGCCTTGGACACACAAACATTTGGCTGCAGACCTTGGACATTCCAACAGGACTCATCATCGCACTCAGCATGCACCATGGTGCTAACAGAAGGAGTGGGCCGATATATCCCATCTTCACAACAGATCTGGTGTTAGTAGAAATTATGGGATGTGTGAAATATGAATGGGTCTGGGTGCTTATTTTGGATTTTATAATCGCTCTTGATATTCAAAATTTTCACCCTTTGTGTGGGAGGTACCAGAAGGAGTTGAGCGATATATTCCATCTTTACACTGGATATTGTGATGTGTTTAATTTGAAGATAATTGGACACTTACATCACATTTTATAAGAGTTATGATTATTTAAAATATTGACCCCATATGGAGTGAACCATTTTCGCACCTGACGTAGCGTTAATGAAAATATTAGGATTTGCAAAGTTTGACCAAAATCGGATTATCCTTTCCCTTTATGTGCAGTAAATTATTTTCTTTGAAAATGTTGACACTCCGAAGGCGTAAACCGATATTACCTATCTCCGAACTCAATCTAAGTTTGACAATAATATTACGATGTACCAAGTTTGGATTCGGATACTCCCTTCGAGTTTTATCGTGTGTACCAACCAGCCAGACGGACGGACGGACATCGCTAGATCGACTCCAAATGTCCTGAAACGGATTTTGTCCAAAGAGACCTAGGGCCTAAAAACGTTATTTCGATGAGGCACATTTTGGACGTATCAAATGATATATACGCTCTGTAGCCATATGGCTGATGGTATAATAAATCCCATGACCACCTTAAAAGATTCTTTTATAAATTTAATTTCTTTGACCCAGATTGATATTTAATTAATTTGAATTTCTTTTCGTTGAAAACATATTGTGTGACATTTCGATCCGCTAAAAAAGAATTCTTCAAATAAACCAAAAGGCAGTGATGACATCGTTTTCAAAACTTCGTCATATTTCCTGGAAAAATACGCCTTCTTTTCCACATACAAAAGCAACAAACATGTGTTTGTTTCCTTTTGCATGGGCTTGCTTCTTTTAAACAACAGAGATTTTGCTTCCTTTTCAGCCAAAATAAAAACAATCAGTATTATATAAAACCCGTCAAAATGTATGTAAATAATATTACATTATTATCTTGTGTGTGAGTTTGATACCTTTTTGTGATTTGACTGTTTCACAAACGTGTTTTTTTTTTTCATATTTTTTCCACTTGGTGTGTCATTGAGTCATTCTGACAGTTATAATTACCATGATAATTTTCGCGATAAAAACAGAAACTGTTGAACATGATTATAGCCTGGTGTACTGGCTGCGGCTGGGGCTAAGCTACTTATCTGTAGAGGAATTCCCTTTGATTGGTGAATGTAAATGCTCATTATTGTCGCAAAAAAGAAAACAACAACAACAAATAAATAAATGTGCGATAAATAAATATCATCAACAGCATTTCTATTTTCAACAAGTAGGTATTTGTATTCTATTTGACCAGACTTTGAGAATATAGTACTTCCATTTCCGTTATCACATTTGCCACGACAATTGCCTATCTGCCGGTTGCGGCGGCTGACTACCCCTTTTGCGCCATCTGAACAATCAAATTAACATTTACGTGTAAAATATGTATTTTATGGTTGAATAGCGCCCATTCATCCAGCCACTCAAACAACCAACCAACCATTGAATTACGACGACAGATTAGCCAGATTGTATTATTTATTTAAGTCAATTCTTAAACAAATATGTTAATACTATTACTATTCTTCTACTGCCACTTGAGTAGTTTAGAATTTAGCTACAAGAGGCATTGTTTTTTTTTGGAGGAGATAAGAAAATTATGACTATAAAGAAGATGGAATAAATTGTGTCATGTATGCAAAATTATAAATTTCGAAAAAAAAATCGAATTATGAACGGTGGCCTGGCCACCCCACCAAATAAATTTAGCATCTTCTTTGTTAGCGTCCATATTCCCGGGTAGAGGACATAGATCGCTAAAGCTTTTACTTTCAAATTCAATATATACAGGTTGAGATAAAAAAAACTGCAACAAAGTCAAACGCCATAAGTTTTATATGTTTTTTTTTTTTAATTTGGAATGTCCAAGGTCTGCGGCCAAAATGTTTGTGTGCCCAAGGTTTTAATACACCCTCCAGAATATTTTCGAGATAATATTCGGCTTTAATATTAATACGAACGGAGAGCGACCATCGGCTGTTATGGCGGCCTACACCATCACCATGGCCTACTGGGCCCGGATTAACAGCGATGTGCAGAGCTTCTGCTCAGTTTGAGGCACAGGCCCACATGACACGATATTTCGCTGTCCAGCCAAGCCTACTCACCTAATTCCAGTCTTATTATGGACACAACCCATACAGGTTGCATTGTTTTTGAGACTGGTCTTAGAGGCAGAACCGGATTGAATGGAGTCAGAAAATGGAAACAGAACGAATACAGCTGAAAGAGCTGCCACAACAACCATGGCCGGGCTTCAGTTCTGGTGGCCAATCTAAGGTGCACATTTTCAGCTGACCTCTTTGGCAAGTAAACACGATCATTTTGTTTGTTTACAAGCTGCTGGACAACGAATGTTTTCTCATCGGAGAAAACCAAATTCGGCAGTTCACCACTTTCGGCCAAGCAAAGCAACTCTTTAGTCCTTTTGAGTCTATTTTCTATCTGTTACGGGGTAGGTTCTTGCACTTTTGGGACTTTTAATGGTTTTACCCCGAGCTCATTTTTAATAGTTGACGAATAGAATATTGCGATATATTCAGCTCACGAGCCATTTTTCGGCTAATGCGAAGCGGGTTTCGATCAAGTCGCTTCTTTACTTTTCGAACCATTTCTGCTGATGTTGCTGTTTTCTACCGCCCACTTCCTTGACGTTGGGCTACGCTACCAGTATCACGGTAACGAGCGATGGTCCGAGACACAAAAGATTTTTTCACATTTACATGCTGGAGTGCTCTAAGAATAGCCACTTGTGGTTTTCCAGCCAAATATAAAGAAATCA